GAAACCGCCGTTCCAGCAGGTCTTCGTGACAACCACTGTAAAAATTTACATCGTTGAGATGCCGGACACGCCGATGTCCTTGCCACATTGTCGCCGCCGCCGCCGCCTTCCATGTGCCGCTGTCGTCGTCGTCCCAGCCGCCCACGTTCGAATTTCACCACAGCTTGCCGTCTCCTTCTCTCGAGCTGCTGCGGCTGCCGCTGCCACCGTTCCCATCTCCACCACGCCCTCACCCTCGCTCTCACCTTAACCCTCTCCTCTCCGGGTCGAAATCCAAATTAGTGGCGCGATTCCGCACTGGGGAGGGGGAAAAGTTGTGGGCGGGACGAAGTAGTAGACATTCTTCGCCCCTGCGCGCCAAGTACCAATACATGTTGTCAAGTAGAGCCCTTCTCGACGGTCGTAGCCCGCCTCGTATGCCTCTCGAGTGCATCTGGGGTCGAAGACATGCTAAAAGTAACTAACATTTCCGATTCTCGGCGCTCGGAAGCGATAAGAAAGTCATGGTTCTCGATGGGGCACAGGCGGCTAGACCCATGAGACGGATCCTATTCAAACCTATTTAATAGGCGCCGTACACAGGGTCACCGCTAGTCTCTATTTCGTGCTCCGGAGCTGAACCTTGGAAGATAGAGTCGCAAAAGGCAAAGTAAGGGCCTCGGCCCGTCAAAATCTCCTCAATAACTAATAACATGACGAATTAAATGCAGATTTTAAATAAATAAAGATTTCTATTGAAAAGGAAAATTTCAGGAGGTACCAATAGGCGCGTGTCAAAGGGCGCTCTCGGCGGCGCGGGGTGCGAGTGGCGGACCCTAGAAGGGCTTAGGGTGGGAACAGGGCTTAGTGGAGGCTGATGCGGCGGGCCGCTGGCGCGGGGGTGGTGCGCCCAGTCCGCTCGGCTGCGCGGTGCTGCGCGAGGCACGTGAACTGGCGGGCTCTGCCGCGCACCTGCGGCGGGTGCAGCGGGCAGGCTCGCCACAGAGGGTGCAGTGGTACGAGGTCTTCTGCTTGCAGATGGAGCACTGCCGCTGGGTACCGCCCTTGGCGCCCGAGTGGTAGAAGGACTTGACCTCGTGCTCGACGAGGACGACGAAGCGCGGGCTCGTGCGGGTGCCGGGCGAGGCCGCAGTGCGCGCCGACGAGCCGCCAGTGCGTCCACACCACGCCGTGCGCCTCGGCAGTCGCCGGCGGCGGGCGCGAGTCGTCGTCCAAGTCGGACTCGTCGTTGTCCGACCCCGATGTTGTCTCCCTGGAAAGGCCATTCTCCGATCCCTCCGGCTCCGCCGCCGGACGCGGGCGCCTCGTGCCGCGGGGAGGCAGCAGCGTCGCCGCCGGCTCGCCCTCGTCGCCGTCCTCGATCTGGAAGTCGAACTCCTTCCTTCTTGATGAGGTCCGCGCCCGCGCCCGCCTCCGGCTCGTCCCCGCCGACCCACTTGATCTTGTACCTGTTTAGGGTACCCGCCCGCCGACCGACGTGAGCTGGCCACGGAAGCGCTCATGGGGCTGCGAGCGCGCCTACTCCTGGCCCCAGTACACTGACTTGATGGACACGGAGCAGGGCCGCTTCGCCTTGTCCTCCTGGATCAGGATCTTGAGCCGCGGGTCGTCGTCCGCGCCTGGAGTTACACTCGACACCGCTGTTCGCGAAGCGATGATGAGTAAGACGAAGTCTAGGACCGAAGTTCAGGCTCTTCTAGTGAGCCTTCGAGAAGGCGGATCGTCAATCTGATTGATTCCTGGCTATCCTCATGCCGTGGCGTCCACGGCGATGTGCGGTGACCCTGGGTGTCCGACGCGCGGTTCGTCGGCTACAGCGTGCCGAACCGCGCCTATTGAATAGGTTTGAACGCTGCTTAAATAGGTTCAGGGGTCTAGCCGCAGGGGAGTTAGATGCAGTTTCATGAATGGGGCGGCGCCCCATTCACGAATCTGCATCTAACTCCACTGTGCCCAACCCGGTTCGTGAGTTACTCCGAAGGATTTTCACCGGACATTTTCGCAATTTCGCCCCGGACTGGCCACTAATTCGGATTTCGACCCCTCCCCTTAGCGTTTTGGTTTCGTCAGTCTTAATTTCTGGCTTATTTTTATCCTTTAGATCAGACTGTCATCCTTGCATCGCCACATGAGCAAATGTCATGCCACCCCTCCCCCGAAAAAAAAGCCCCAACAAATTTCAAAAAGAACGCACCTGCGTCGCCTTGAAATCGACTGATTTCCCCGAGCGCCGGTCGAGCACGCGCGCCCCGCACACGCGCGCACCGACGTCACCTGCGCACAAATGAGTAAGTAATAAGTAAGTAAGATCGGGAGGGGGAGGGGAAGGGGTGTGTTGAGAGAGCGCAGGGCCACGTGCACATATCATATCATATTATATATCATCTGCTATGATATGATATGATAACATTCAGAACAGTCAGACGCCAGCTGGAATCCCTATCATAAATATATGATATGATATGATATGACATGATATTGATTATTAGAATGACGTGCGCTGTGCGCAGCTCGCCGAGCCTGCCCCTTTTATCGAGGGTGCTCCAGATGAGTCCAGTATATATGTGTAAATGAACATATATGTTGGTTGCAAGTCGGGGGAATGACGCGCCTCATGCCCATACGCCTTCGGGCTGCAAGTCGGGGGAAGTTAGAAGAACTATTGTAAAAAAGAGCACCTGCGCCTTTGATAAATCTGATAAATCTGATAAATCTGATAAATCTGATAAACATTACATATATTAAACAAATCAAACACAAAAATCACTTTTGGACGCACCTGCGCCTTTGCCGTCTGCGAAGAGCAGCGACTCGATCGAGGCGTAGTTCACGCAGGCCGCGCCCTACGCCACAGAGTAGGGCGCACAAATTGGGCAGTGGGGTGCGTACAGTCAGATGCGGACAGTCAGGACGTAGATGCGGACAGTCAGTTACTGCGAGACAGGCAGCAGCAGCAGCAGCAGCCAAAAAAACCCAATCAATTGATTAATTAATCAAACCTGCTGGATGGCCGTTAGGATGATGTGCACCCCCATGCGCGCGTCGTTCTACTGCCCGTCGTACACTTCGAGCCCGCCTACTAGATTTTTCCCGTCGGGGTCCACAGCACGCAGCGACGGCACCTGAAAAAAAAAAAAAAAAAAAAAAAACCGGGTTCGGGCGAGAGTGAATTCGGGGTTCGGGTGAGAGCTAAGTTTGGAGACGGATGCGAGCTAGTGCTAGGGCCCAGGCCCCGAGGCAATGGCACAGGCCCCGAGGCAATGGCACCTGGAAGCTGGGTATTAGGGCTATGGCACAGGTGGGGTGGGAAACGGATAAGGATGAGGGGGCTAGAGCCTAGGCCCGAGCCTGAAGCTAGGGGAGGCTACGGCACCTGAAAGCGAGCCTTCTCCATCTAGACGATACTCGACGGTGGCACGCCGCGGCCCGCGCCCGCGATCAGGTCATACAGAAAGCCGACGACCCAGAAGAGGGGGACCTCCCACCAACGGTAGAGAGGCACCTGGGAGTCGTCAATTGTCGTGTGTCTGATCAGCCTTAGTGGTGGAGACGGTATGCGTGTGCTCTGCAAAGGTCCCTTGATCCGAGTGTTTCTCAACTCTCGGGTCCGGTGGAGACCTGTCAGGGGACGGACGTATTTCTAGATATTTACACGCACCATCATAGGTAGCGCTTTCGCCATGAAGGGCGCGGACTGGATCATCCACGCGCGCTCTGACATATCCGCCGCCACGATGCGCAGGTACCCGGGGTCGAAGCGCAGGTTCACGAAGACGTCCAGCAGCGAGCGCGGTGGGATCTTGCGCTGGAAAGCCTGCGCGAGGTAGCGCAGCCCTCCGTGGATCAACTTGGTCGATTTGGACGAGGCGCCGGACGTGTAATCCGAGCCCTTGACGAGCGCGACGCGCAGGCCGCGCGACGCGGCGTCCATGGCGACGCCCGCGCCCGTGGCGCCGCCGCCAACCACGAGGAGGTCGAACTCCTCCGAGGCGAGGCGCTCGAGCTACTGCTCGCGCGAGGGCGGTTGCCACACCTCCGTAGGCAGGTTCGCGGCGCGGAGCGAGGCCTCCCCGTCCGACGCGCGGACGGCCACGCATGCCGCCGAGCAGCGGGTACGCAGCGGCGCGGGTGTGCCGCCGGGGCCAAAGGCGCGGACGGCCGTGCGTGCCGCCGAGCAGCGGGTACGCAGCGGCGCACCCGCGCCGCGGCCAAAGGCGCGTCTCGGCGCGGGCGATCTCAGTGCAGCGCACAGCAGTACGAGGGAGAGGACGTGTGGCCGCATCGTCTGCCGCCGGCGGGTGTCTGTCGCCTCCCCAAGGTCGGCCAGCTTGCCGGCACCTTCGCGCGTTGGTCGGAGCTTTAAAAAAAAATTAACGTCGGAGCAATGCAACTTTGGGTCTCCGACAGCCTCGTGTGGAAGCCGCCCGCGGGAGCGGGGGGCACGCGCGTCTTCGGCTATATTGAGGGGATCAAACGCGTGTGGCATCAGTCTTCGACGGATCAAAGGGGCACGCCCGAATATCCAGGCTCCGTGGTCACGTTCGAAAAGGACGACAGGCCAGGCGCACGCGTGTGAGGAGTGGCCGCGGTCCTCTCGCAAAGCGACGACTAGGGCGAGCGTGCACGAATCGTGGCCGACCTGGACTACCGGGAGAAGCAGTACGACACGCGATAGAGACTGAGCGTCTTTGGCAGGGACGATGGAGTCGTCGCGCACGACGTCCTCGTGTACGTGGGAACGCCCAACGGGTCGAATTGGGCAGGCAAGCAGCCCATACACGAGATCGCTAAGCGGATTCACACCGCGCGCGGGCCGAGCGGGCCGAGTGACGAGTACTTGTTTCGGATGTGCGAGGCCTCCCGTGCGGATATAGGTGCCGAGTGCGCCGAGCCCGAGCTGTTCGAGCTCGAGGCCCTGGTGCTCGCGCTCAAAACCGCCGCGTCGCCGTCTGCCGGCTAGCCTGGACGGGCTGGGCGAATCGCGCGCCGACGGCTAATAGTGATCCCTAGTCTAGTGGTTTAGGACCTTCGCCTTTGGGCGGAGGTCCCGAGTTCAATTCTCTAGGTGCTTTACGCCTGTGGCCCCTTTTTTAAGTGGGCACCCTTTGGTTAAGTCGGAGTTGGGTCCCCGTAGACTCTCTGAGTAACCAGGCTCAAGGGGGGGGGGGGGGGGG